TCAGAAACATCTAGAAGATCAATAGATGTGAGATGAGACCAAATATGAAGCTACTTCAGAGTCGTCCAGGAAAGACGCTGGACGGAAACGAAACATGACATCTAATATGACTTTGGATGAAGGGAGTACTCAACGTCTAATAATGACTTAAGACGAGAGAAAAGATCACAACATCCAATATTAGATTTGAATGAGTGGAAAACTCAACATCCAATAATGGCTTTAGACGAGAGAAAAGATCACAACATCCAATATTGGATTTGAATGAGGTGAGACAAATCATGGCATCCAATAATGGTTTTGGACAGCAAAAGATCAAGACATCTAATATTGGCTTTGGACAACAAAAGATCATGACATCCAATATTGGCTTTGGACGACAATAAAGATTGCGACATCCAATATTGGCTTTGGAAGGCAACAAAAGATAGGAACATTCAATATTGGCTTTGGACGGAAACAAAAGAGGGTGGCATCCAATATCGACGACTGATGGCAGCAAAAGATCATGGTATCCAATATTGGCTTTGGATAGCAAAAGATCATGACAATATCCAATATTGGCTTTGGATAGCAAAATATCATGACAACATCTAATATTGGCTTTGGATGGAAGAAAAGATCATGACATCCAATATTGGCTTTGGATGGAAGAAAAGGTAACAACATCCAATATTTGCTTTGGACAGCAACAAAAGATGGTTACATCCAATATTGGCTTTGGATGGAAACAAAATATTGCGACATCCATTTTTGGCTTTGGATGAAAGAAAAGGGAACAACATCTAATATTGGCTTTGGATGGAAAAAAAAGATCCTGACATTCAACATTGACTTTGAATGAAAGAAAAGATGGTGGCATCCAATATTGGTTTTGGATGGCAGCAAAAGATCATGACATCCAATATTGGCTTTGGATGGTTAGAAAGATCATGACATCCAATATTGGCTTTGGACAACAATAGAGATGACAACATCCAATATTGGCTTTGGATGGAAACAAAAGATAGCAACATCCAATATTGGTTTTGGATGGAAGCAAAAGATCAATACATCCAATATTGGCTTTGGACGGCAAAAAAGATAATGGCATCCAATATTGGCTTTGGACGGCTACAAAAGATAGCAACATCCAATATTGGCTTTGGATGGAAGAAAAGGTAACAACATCCAATATTGACTTCGGATGGAAACAAAAGATCCTGACATTTAATATTGGCTTTGAATGAAAGAAAAGATGGTGGCATCCAATATTGGCTTTGGACAATAACAAAAGGTAACAATATCCAATATTGACTTTGGATAGAAACAAAAGATCATGACATCTAATATTAGCTTTGGATGAAAGAAAGGACAACAACATCCAATATTGGCTTTGGATGGAAACAAAAGATCAAGACATCCAATATTGGCTTTGGACAGTAAAAGATCATGGCATCCAATATTGGCTTTGAACAATAAAAAAGATCAAGAAATCCAATATTAGCTTTGGATAGAAGAAAAGATCACGACATCCAATATTGGATTTGGATAGCAAAAAAGATCAAGACATCCAATATTGGCTTTGGACAGCATGGGGAAACATGACACCCAAGATTAGCATTGGTTGAAAGAAATACAGCTCATCCAAGATTTGCATCGGAAGAAAGAGAGAAATAACTCATCCAAGATTAGCATTGGACGAAAGAGAGGAAACAACCAAACTGACATCTGATTTGGTAGGGGAAAAGTAAGTTAGACTTTGATCTCAAGGTGACATGACAACTGTAACAAGACCTCGGGAAATGCAAATGAGGATGAAGCACTCTTGTTATGCATTATGTATGAATTTTGTTATGTATGATATGTGAATGATCTATGCATGTAATGCCGATGTTTACGACAATGGAGTTTGACTCTTTTGTGAATGTAAGATTGGAAGTTTGATTCCTCAACACGGAGAACTCTGCCAAATTTGTTTGGAAAGAAAATGTCCTGAACCCAAATTTGTCACACTTGTAAATTGTATTGAACTAATGATTTTATGAGGAAGAACATGGAAGGCTGCTTGGGTATTTGTCCCAGATTAGATGACTGTTGAGGTTAAACTGATCATGGCCTCAGTCAAAAGTTGCTGGAAATAAGCTGATCACAGCTTCAGCTCTGAAATGAGTGTTGGAGATAAACTGATCATGGCTTCCGTTCTTGAGATATTTGTTTGAATAAACAGATCATGTCATCAATTCTTGAAATTACTGTTGGTAATAAACTAATCATGGCTTCAGTTCTTGAAATGACTGTTGGAAAGGAATGCCCCAGCATGAGTCTTGAAAATGATCTTCTGGCTAACCAATTCTGAGAAAAATTGCACTGAGCAACAAATCTTGAATTGATTCACAAATGGACCTGAAAGATACTTTCCCGTGATAGGGTCACTGACCAAGTTTCTCAGCTGTTTGAAATTCCTTGACGAGGAAAGCTTGTTTGCAAGCAAAATTATTTATTCAAACATGGTAATTTTAATGCAAAGTTCATGCAAAAGATTTTGAATTCATATATCATTTTTGAAATGATATTATTGGTATATGGAAAATGCACCACTGGTTAAAACACAGTTGTTTATACTTTTAAAGTGAAAGATGAAAAAACAAAGGTATGATACCAAATGATTCAAAAAAGATCTTAGGAGTCAGTTTACGCAACCTTGTTGTAGTATGCTTTCAAAAGAAACTTGGCTTCAATTAGGTCTTTTGAGGGTTGTAACATGGTCTGGTTCACGATTTAAGAAATAAAGGATAAAGGCTCAAAGTTTATTTCTACCTAACTCAATCTTCGTGATGTTCTTCAGTCCTACGTTTAGTTAATTCAGACTATGCCTTCAGGTTCCAAGAGATTTTGGAATTGCACTGATGGTAGCAATGATGATGGCTCAGATGCTAAGGGATTCTTGAGAATGACAGACACTTCTTCTTCTATTATTTTTCTGTTTTGAGGACTTTTGTCAACTCTGGTGGAGAATTTTTAGGATTTGAAGACCTCTTCTGATTGAATTTATTATTCTCAACTTTTGCCTAAACTGTTTCATTTGAGATTAAAGTCCACGGGATACCCCAGTTTTTTACCTAAGTCTCCTTCATAGGTTTTGACTTAGCGGGATTTTTCTTAGAGTATTTCATTTTTCTTTCTTTTTTTGAAAAGATAATAACTGTCTTATCCAATGATTATGGGGAACCATCTTTGTCATTTTTGATTTGAGAGCATCTTTAACACTTCATCAGCTCTGATCGCAATATGTGTCCATCTAGTAATGACAACTTTCATGTTTTTTCTATCCATGGACTTTAGAAAGACAATCATGTGAACTTTAAGTAGTGTTTGTTTGTTCCCTCATTAATCTTTGGACGACTAATATCTCCCTTCCTTGGTATTGTCCATATTTAATTAGAAAATATTAATTAACTTAGAACACGTTGAATTGGTGTAGAGTGTCTGCTCTAATACTAATTAAAATTTTGTTTGATCACAAATAATATCTCAAATTCAATGTTGAAGCAAGGTGTGAGATAAGGTGATCTTAATTAATCAATGGACAATGAAACAAATTATAAATTAAATACATAATGAAACAAATTACCAATTATAATTCATCAATTAGTACACGACAACCTTATCTAAACTCTTATAGTTCTTTACATTTCCATAATACTACTCGTAGATTTCAACTCAAGTTTCTCTTAAATATAAGATCTCTTCACATTCACTCAAATTCATATTCAAGTGTTTGTAAGAACTATATCTCTCCTAAATAGTAATGAATAACAAATGACATAGTTTGACACAATTGAAACACACTACAACACTCGAATATGTCTTATTAAACCACAGGAGAAACCAATCTCTTTATATAGAGACATCAATCCAGCTCCAGAGTCCATTAGGGTACAGACAAACTATGACATATTTAATCTTCAACAAATTAAGACTTTCTTTAGTAGGATATTGAATTTTTAGCAAATTAAATCTTTTCAAATCATGTAGATTATATAATTAATTAATTATTGAGTTAAATATACAATACCCTCGATAATATAGGGTAATTTTGATTTATCCCGGTAAAAAATATTTGGATCACCCTCTTAAAATATTAAAATTTTATGTCTTTTGCCTTAAGTGCAAAAATTACCCTATAATTTCTTTTTGATTTACCTCAAAGTTAGTGTTTAATTTATACACTTAGGAGATAAACCAAATAAAAATTAATTACAAGGGGTAATCTAAAAAAAAATTTATAAGAGATAAATCAAAATTCATATATATTGCAGAGAGATAAAGTGACATTAACTCTTAATTCTTCCAACAAAAAATCTTTTTGAAACAAATCATATAGATTATAAACAAAATAAGTCTTTCTGAAATTAATCATGCAGTCATTAGAACACATAATCCAATATCAAACAAAATATCTTCAAAAATAGCACACCAATAGATAACTTAACAAAGATGTCTGATCAGCAACTTTTGAAATATTTTAATTAACATTTTGTAAATAAAAATAAGTGATTTTATATGTAATAACAACAATACTAATTATATATAATTCTCTATATGAATGCATTTATGTGGTCTTATTAGTGAAATTCATGGGAAAACTAATGTTGCAATACAAAGAATTAAGGAGAATTTTGAATACAAAGAGAACTCATTTTTGATATATCTAACAAAGAGAGTGGAATGCATGCACAATAAAATCAACAAGTCAACTAACTTAGCATATTCCAGCTAACAACATTGCATAAAATCAAAATTTTATATAGAAATGGATGTCCACAATGTTCTTTGTTGTAATCACACAAGGACGTGTCCCTAACTCACTATAAAAAATAATGCAAAATACATAATTCCTTCATGTATATGTATAAATGTATAAATAGGTAACACATTTCATTAACCAAGTACAAATCAGAAACATCTCTTATAATATATTCATCATACCTTGGGAGTTTCTACTAATTAATATTAACATGGCTGATAATAAACTTAGACTCTGTGTATTGATATGTCTTATCAGCATAATCTCATCATCAAGTTTAATTCCTTCAGCAACTACTTATGTGTCTTCAAACATACCTGATCCTTTTGGTAAGTTGAGTTCCTCTTTTTATGAAACAAGGTGTCCTGGTGCTCTTCAAATCATTAAGGCAGCAATAACCAGCGCGGTAGAGAATGATCGGCGATTGGGTGCATCTTTGCTCCGTCTACATTTTCATGACTGCTTTGTTCAAGTGAGTATTCGTCACCATGATTTTAAATTGCACTTGCAATCAGATTGATAAAGGAAAGATTACGATTAATTAGAAGTAGAATTTATATTATTGTTATTTAATTTTGAAATGCTTTTTAAAATATTTTTATGGTCTTTAAATATTTGAGGTGAGCTTTAATTAGTTATTGAATCTTTAGTTACTATTCTCTACTACAATATATGTACTCATTAAGAGATGACAAAATTATCAAATGAATGAAAATGTTATCTTTTATTTTAATTCTCTTAGATAGCTTTTAGTATTCTTCTCATTTTCTAGTTAATACCATAGTTTATAGCTTTGATAGGAATTACTTCCTATGATAGTTGTGGTTGAACATGCAAAACTAAATATACACCGATTCTTGTAAAAAAATCTTATATGGTTACTTGGTTTTTGAAGGGATGTGATGCATCAGTATTGTTAAAGGACACACCAGATTTCAAGGGAGAACAAAATGCCCGTCCCAATGCCAATTCTCTAAGAGGTTACGAAATCGTAGAAGCTGTAAAAGCTTTATTGGAGATACGGTGCCCTCAGGTTGTTTCATGTGCAGACATCTTAGCTGTTGCAGCCAGAGATTCAGTTGTTGCTGTAAGTATTTTTTTTATGAAATCGTCGAAACGCGTTAAATATAGGGTTTGTAACAAAGAACTTTTGTAATGAATGATGAATATATTCTCAGCTTGGTGGACCTTTTTGGCTAGTTCCTCTTGGAAGAAGAGACTCAAAAACTGCAAATTTGAATGCTGCTAATTCAGATTTACCATCTCCATTTCTTGATCTTAAGGGGCTTATTGATGCTTTCTACAAAAAGGGTTTCTCAGCTGAAGAAATGGTTGCTTTATCAGGTAACTAAGCATCCATTAATTGAAATACCCCTCAATCAGAATTCACGCTGCAACTACTGCAATGTACACTGCATCACCCGAAACCGCTATCACATCTGCAACCATAACCGCAACTTAAAACCATACAAATACAATCATATAAGATATAGGTTATGATTTTTTAACAAAATAGTAAAACATTGATTTATTAATCTTCAGGTGCTCACACAATAGGCAAATCAAAATGCGCAGTCTACCGATCAAGGATATACAACGAAAGCAATATTGATTCTGATTACAAAATATCATTGCAGGCAACTTGTCCAAACATTGGTAATGATAACTACTTATCTCCTTTGGACACCACAACTCCAGACACCTTTGACAATGGTTTTTACAAAGCCTTATTGTACAATAAGGGTCTTTTGCATTCTGATCAACAACTATATAATGGTGGTTATGGTTCCACTGATAAACAAGTTTCAGATTATGCCAACAATGTAGCACTCCTGGGCTTGGATTTCGCTAACGCGATGATTAAGATGGGAAATCTCAGCCCTCTAACTGGCAACCAGGGTGAGATCAGAAAATATTGCTCGAATGTGAATAAAGTTTGAATTTAATTATCTCTAACAACCAAAATAATGAATTTATCGAGGATTTATTTTCTTGTCGACATGATTTTTTTTCAAAGTCTGCATTAAGTGTCAAGTGATAAGAACTTGTCCAAGAAAATTTTCAAGTTTTTATCCTTTGTTGTTATTTTCTGGTATGCTTTTGCTTGATGAATGTTTCTTGTAATGTAATTTTGGTTTATTCTTTTCTCATTTGAAAATTATGGGATTTTTATAATATGTTGTATTTAATTTCTTGATTTTTTTCAAAAGCGAATATAGTATTAGAAATAGAAGTCCCCAACACAACTAGCATTTAAACCAATGTACAATATAACTAATCTAAATTCGAATATCGACTGAGAAAGGTGGGAACTTTAATGATGAACTCTCCGGGAAACTAGAATATCTAATTTGTATATTATATTTGAAATCTAATGTATCAAATATTATAATAACACATAATCAATCATAACTCTAACATATTATTAATTATAATTTTAAATTTGTCACATCATTCTATAATTTTACGTGACATATCTTAAAATTCATTTTCATCCTATACTTTTACAAATTAGAGGTCATGAGTACGAATTTTCGTAAAGACGAAATAAAATATCATTTTGAACAAATTGATTTAAGAAACCAATCATTAATCTAATTATGTATATTTCTTTAAATTAAAAATATTCTCTCATATTTCAAATATAATAGAGATGTGAAAATTCAAATACGGTAAATTTTTTTTTTTTATTTTCTTGAAATTATAGGAATAAAAGTAAGATTTCAAACAAATATTTTTAATTTTAAAGTAGTTTTTACATAATTTTCAAGTATAAATCACTTTAAACTTATTTAAAATATAATATAGTACGCAACAATTTTTTACGGTGTATATAATTTACTACTATATTTTTTTATATAATATCAAATAATAAACTAATGACAAATAATAAAATAATACACAAAAGAGATAAGAGAATTCAAATACAATAAAATATTTATATGTTATTTTGGACAAAATGGTCTAACAAGTCAACCATTACTCCAACTATGTATATTCCCTTATATTAAGAATATTTCTCTCAAATTTTAAAAATAAAAGAGATGTCAAAATCTAAACACAAAAAAAATACTTTTTTGTTTTCCTGAAATTATAGCAATTAAAATAACTTTTGAAATAAATTTTTTTAATGTTAAAGTAGTTCTTACACAATATTCAAATATATGTCACTTTATATTGATCTTAAAAAATAATATAGTATGCAACAATCTTATAAAGTTCGATAAAATAGACATAAATTTTATAAGGTTATTGAAAATTTTATTTGATAATAATTGTAAGTAAATTTTTAATTTTATTAAACACTAAAAATAAATACATATATTTAAATAATTAAAGTAAAATATCTAAATAAAAAATAAATTCAAAAAAAACATGAGACTCAAAACAAAACAAAAAAAACCATTTTATACATATGTAAGTTTACAAACTTAAGTTACGTATATCACTCGCAAATCTCAATTTACGTGTATTTTATTTTTAAATGAAACGAATATTTGTCTATGTGATTAACTTATATTATTATCTCTATTGTAATTCAAAAAAAAATAGTTTGTAATATAAATTAGTAATTATATTTTCTCAAAATCAACTCTTAATATATTTAAAATTCAATAAAAACTTGAACAAGCTAATTTACAACTGCACATCGCGCGGGTCTTAATCTAGTTCAATATTATAATGGAAGGAATTTGAGGAAAATGAAAAATAATTTTTTTTTATATAGCATTAGCATCATGTAATTAGTTTCATGCTCAAAGTAAGAAAATAACGTATGTAATTCAACACAAGGTTAATAAATATTTACTATAGCAAAAAAGATATTACCATAATTTAAAAAAATGGTCGCGATCGCGTAAAGGTTTTCGTGATTTCGATCGATACTGGTGTCATGACACTAATTGCAGTCGTCGAGGTATGAATTAACAATAATTTATTGTTTAACATAAAAATTAGTGATATCAGCATAGGTATTGATATCGACTGATACCGTTTTATCGCAGTCGTTTTGGTAGTTACAAATCATTTTTTAAAACCTTGGTGGTGTTGAGATATTAGACATAATCTAACTTGTGTAACCTAATCTCAAACCCAATTAGTGTTTGTTAGCCTACTTAGTATATAAGTTAGGTGTATATAAATAGTCATAGTTTGTATCATTATTTGTAAAATTCAAGTAAATAATATAATCCTTATTTCCTTAATTCTCTCTCTTTCTCACCATACTAAAAGTGCCTCACGCACTAACAAATTGGTATCTAGAGTCTGGTAATATTCTTGATCGTGTTTTCAAGAATCACACATTAGAGATTATATTTCCAAGATTGTGAGTTGTTCACTATCAATTAATGCAAAGATGAATGGTAACAATAGCATTCTGAATTCTCTTCTAACTCTTGACGACAAGAATTGTATTCGATGGAGAAAACATATGTAATATCTATTTGGATTTCATGAAACCGTAGAAGTTGTTACTAATAGCATTTTTGTGTTCGCTGCAGATGCAGCCGACGGACAGAAAACAACCCAGGATGAAGCCGAGAAGAAGGATTACAAGGTTGTGTATTGCATTCAGATGGCGATCGATGCGGCGAAATTTGACAGGATCTCTCGTGCTTAATCAGAGAAATAGGCATGGGATATTCTTGTCAAGTACTATGAAGGAGGTGAGAAATTCAAGGATGTCAAGTTGCAGACCTTGTGTCGACAATATGAATTGCAATGGTGTCTTTGTGACATAAATGGAATGATGCAATGGACAATACTTGAATCACTTGGATAATGGTTCAATCAATTGTGTAAACATCTGATTATGGATAGATTTACAAGTCAAAAGGCCTGCAAAGTAAGATTATGCAGCACATCATGCAAATTGGATTATGTGTTCTTTAACAAAATGACTTATAATTCATGAATGGATTCCAAACATCATGCCCTTGAATCTCCTAGCTCAAGTATGATAAATGCATGCTCTTAGACATTTTGGAAAGCTTGAAACATTTTCTACAACTTTCATGTTGACAATTTTGGATAAATAAAATTGGAACTTGATGAAAAATGGGCAAGAAGTTGATATGAAAACTGACCAAAATCTGTTGAAAATTTCTCTAAGTGTTTATACAAAAATGTCATGATTTCATGAAATTGATTTTCATACTATTTCTTGAGGACAAGCAAAGGTTCAAGTGTGGGGGTTGCATGATGTAAAATTAGGAAAAGCGAGAACTTTGGTATACTGGACATTATCAAAACAAGAAAAGCAAGCAATTTTGTATATTGGACAATTTCCTTTTCTCTTATGGCACTCCTCTACATTATAGGTCTTAGAAATCATTAAAAAATATGTTGAAATTGATCCAAGTCATTAAAAATAGGTTTCTGCATAAATTTCTACTGCATGTGTCGACACATCCGCTTTTCAGGTCGACACATGTAACTCATTTTTAAAGTCTATAGCTTCTATAAAGTTCAAAGGATTATAGATAAGCATATTCTTGAATTTGAGAATGAAATTAAGAATAGTTCAAATTGACTATTTTTAGAGTATGTTCAACAATATGGATTATGTAGGGGTATGTTAAGATATTAGACCTAATCCAAGTTGTGTAACCTAAGCCCAAGCCCAATTAAGGTTTGTTAGCCTACTTAGTCTATAAGTTATGTATATATAAGTAGTCATAGTTTGTATCATTATATGTAACAATTCAAGTCAATAATATAATGCTTATTTCCTTTATTGTCTCTCTTTCTCCCCTTACTAAAAGTGCCTCACGCACCCACATGTGGTAGTCTTCCAACAACATTAGATCATAATTATGGTGTGTTTAAATTCACTGAGCCTCAAGAAGGAAATCTATGAATAATCGATCAGAACCAAATGTCCATATATTGGAAGAGAGACCAATATATGGTGATTTGTCGTATAAACTAAAGAATTAGGCCACTTGGAACTGGCCGGGTGACAAACTGCCTTATTGGTCTTTGACCGCATGATATGGTACGTTCATATACTATATGTGATCGATGAGGTGTTAAAATTGAAACTTGTTAGATAAATGGTTCACGGATAATAGTGTCACCCCCAAAATTCAAGGAGTAATTCAGTATCCCATATTTCCTGCCATAAAAGTAGTAATTTAACGCTCCTCATCGTACTTAACCCAAGAAATCCTCTCTATTAAAAACCCAGTCTAAGAACTTAGAAAAGGATCTCCGATCTTTTATTATAAACTCAAATATATGGATCTACGTGCTTGCAGGTATAATCAAAATTTGATCAAAAATGATAAAACTCGAGGATAGTAAGATTCAATAAGAAATTGCATAGCTTTGATGATGACAACACTTGAAGTTAACCAACTGCTAAATTTAACTCATTCAGTAAAAGATACACAAGGTGGTTGATAAATATAAAGTTATTCTTTGAATCAAGTTAAAGAAATTTGTTTAAAAGTCAACATTATAGTCCAACAACTCTCAACTTAAGACTCAATGTTTAAGATCACTAGTAATTTAAACTTTTAACATCTCAGGCGATGACAACTAATACGAAAATATATCAATCATCATAAAGAAAACTTAAGGCTCTTGTGTGATGATAAAGTATAAAATAATGCCAAGACTTGAAGTTTCATAGCGCAAAAGAGAGGAAGTGTGAAAGCTCGTCTGGTTGTGTCTGTCTAAGAGATCAATGTATTAAAAAGACACTAGGGTGTTTCTGGAAGCATTATGTCTAAATGACACACACAGGCACACACAACACACTTAAAATATTGAGAAGTCTTTCACATTTTAATTATAATAACCTAAAAAAAATTCTTTTGGAGTCTAACTATTTAATTAGGGGACTATTTTCTTAATTAAGAAATGTTTTTTTAAGTTTTCTAATCAATTAGATTTATAGCCTAATCAATTTGATGATGCATAATCGATTCTATAA